TTCTGAGATCGACGCATTCAAACAGATGTATGTAACAGGCAGAAGGAGGCGTACATATGAACGCGTCGGTCTCATAAGATATAAGAGTTAGAGACTTGAGCTTGTCCGTATATATCTCGTGCATATTTATTTTTTCTCAAAAAATCTATAACTTGTCCCGTTATTTTGTTACCCATTTAAGATGATCTAAAATCAGTTATAAATTTATATCTGCTACATCTTTAAAGATACAGTCGCCAAATTTAAATGTAGATTCAAATGTACCTCATAGAATTTCGATTTTTGTTAGAATTCACCCGCCATCCTTATATCTATTTTATTTCCCTCACCTTTGAATCTGTAAAGGCGTATTTTAAGTATTAGAGGCTTGAGCTGTGGAAACTGCACTCATAATAATGTTATAATCGCGATCTGAAAATTCTTAAGCAATTAAGTTCCCGTAGTAAGACCACACTGTAGGTAATGCATATTTATGCGTGCGTGCCTGTGTGCATGCCCTGTTTCTTGTGTACGCAGAAAACGAGCGAATAATTTTTGAAATATCAGTTGCTCGAAGGGGTCAGGGGATCTCGTAATCGAGCAGTCTTGACTATAGAGCTCTCTTGTTTATTTGATTAATTTTATAAAAATGTTTCCTTCCGTGCTATCAATGCCTATTAAACCTATTTATGTGTACATATACATAAATAGATGGCTGACGCATATAAATGTCGCAATTCGGGCACTGTAAATGCCGATTTCCACGCCCCTAGTAACCGTAGACTCCTCATTTTTAGCCTATTCTTAGAACGAACAACCGGTAACCTAAATGCAAAATTTGAATTCTTACACTCAAAAAATGTGAAAATTACAGGGTATTTTTCGATATGCCATGCCCCTAATGAGGCTTAAAAATTATTTTTGGGGCATCGATAGAGGAGGCTACCAGTAACTTAACTATCCAAATTTAAAGCTTCTAGCTCTTAAACTGTAGGAGATATAAACTTTTGCGGTTTGTCACGCCCCCTATGGGCGGACATATATCTACCATAACTCATTGGACGTGGGTGGTCAACCATCGTATATGTACCAAATTTCAGGTCTCTAGCATCAATAGTGCCTAAAATATAGCAGAATTCGAAAAATCACTATATCTTCAGGTCCGATTTGCCACGCCCCTAGTGGGCGTAGATATATAATTTTTTCTTCCATCTTCATAGAATTAAAACATCAGCTTACATGCATTTCAGCATTCTAGGTTAATAACTTTAGGAGATACAGTTTTATCCGATTTGCCACGCCCCTAATGGGCGGAGATATATCCGCCATAGCTTGTGATCTTGGGTGGTCGAGGCGGACCTAAATATTAAATTTCAGCTTTCTAGCTCTTCAACAAACATGATTTCTGGTATATCTGAAAATGCATTTTCCGCTTTGCCAGTGGGCGGATCGGGAAAATTTTAACACTATAAATCGGAGATATACACGAGTATGTGTTCCAAATTTCAAGTCTCTAGCTTCAATAGCGCCGAAATAGATTGCGTTCATACGGACAGACGGACGGACAGCAAGACGGACATTGCACAAAACCAATATACTCATTTCACTTTCGTGAATTGAATAGAATCGGGTATTTACTAAATTATACAAAAACAAGTAAGAACGTTGCAGTCGGGCGTTACCGACTGCGGATTACTCATTCACATCCCATCAGTACCTTCGATTAACTCTGTCTTTGTACTATAATGCTTTCCGGACTCATATACTTTCCTGACCAACCATCCCCAGACGTTTCCAATGATATTAAAGTCGAGTGAGTATGGTGGCCACTCCATGAGATCAATTTTTTGGCCCTGAATCTAGGACTTCAGGGATCGGGCGGTCTGAATTGGGGCATTATCATGCTGGAAAATCTAATGCCGGTTTTCAGACAGGTTATAGAAATGCGGAACAGCAGTTTTAAACACGATATTATGGTCCTATGCGTTCATGCGCGATGTCAAAAATTTAAGCTTGCAAATGCTGTAGTAAGATATTTATACCTACACAAATGCCACACCATCCCCCCGCCGCAGCGGCTTGGAAACCGTTCCAAATAATGTTCTAATGTTATAGCCATCAGTTCCTTCCAAATTCAATTTTTCTCATCAGAAAAGCCAACATGCTGCCATTGGATAGGCCACGTCATGTTCGCCCGGCCAAAATTAATGCGTATTTCTTTTCTCAGCATATCGACTGGTGACTTTTTTTATACTCATTCACGAAAGTGAATCAGTATATTGGTTTTGTGCAATGTCCGTCTTGCTGTCCGTCCGTCTGTCCGTCCGTCCGTCTGTCCGTATGAACGCAATCTATTGGCGCTATTGAAGCTAGAGACTTGAAATTTGGAACACATACTCGTGTATATCTCCGATTTATAAAGTGTTAAAATTTTCCCGATCCGCCCACTAGGGGCGTGGCAAATCGGAAAATGCATTTTCCGATATACCAGAAATCATGTTTGTTGAAGAGCTAGAAAGCTGAAATTTGGTATGTAGGTCCGCGTTGACCACCCAAGATCACGAGCTATGGCGGATATATCTACGCCCATTGGGAGCGTGGCAAATCGGATAAAACTGTATCTCCTAAAGTTGTTAACCTAGAATGCTGAAATTTTGCACGTCAGCTAATGGTATGATTCTATAAAGCCTGAAGATAAATTATAAGTCTACGCCCATTGGGGGCGTGGCAAATCGGACCTGAAGATATAGTGATTTTTTAAATTCTCCTATATTTTGGACACTATTGATGGCAGAGACCTCAAATTTTGTATATATACTCGGACTGATCACCCAAGACCAAAAAGTTTTGTCGGATATATGTCCGCCCACAGGGGGCGTGGCAAACCGCAAAAGTTTATATCTCCTAAAGTATAATAGCTAGAAGCTTCAAATTCGGATAGTTGAGTTACTGGTAGCCTCCTCTATCGATTCTCCAAAAATAATTTTTACGCCTCTTTAGGGGCGTGGCATATCGAAAAATACCCTGTAATTTTCACATTTTTTGAGGGTAAGCATTCAAACTTTGCAGTTAGGGTACCGTTATCTCTTTCTAAAAACTGACCAAAAATGAGGTGTCTACGCCCAGTTGGGGCGTGGCAAATCGGAAAAACCTGTATATTCTACAGTATTAGAGCGAAACTTAACTACTAAATTGTTGATGGGATGTGAATGAGTATTCCGCAGTCGGTAACGCCCGACTGCAACGTTCTTACTTGTTTTACATTCTGTTTCTTTAAGTAATTAACTTTCTTAATTGCTCTTTAGACCGTTGATAAGCTCGTCTTAACACTGATTTTAACCCTAATCTTGGTGGTCGATTCGTGGGAATTCGAAGCTTCTCGAACTAATGCTCTTCTATTTCCTTCTGAAATCACTTGATTATTGCCGCTTATATAGTTTTTTCCATAGTTTTCCCTATTTGTAAGAAAATTGCCACTTAGTTTTCTGGTTTTTCCTGATTTTTCAGCAATTTTATGGTTGCATAGTCTAGATTCAAAGTATGCCTCAATCTTTGATTTTCAACCAAAGATAAAACTGTTTCTTTACCCATACTATAAATATATTGAATACTTTGAGCTTCACAAAAAATTTGGTGAGTGTAATTGCCAAAATAAGCAAGATAATTACAATTGCATTTGGGGGCGCTAATCTGATGACGCAAAATAAGTGCACACATTTTTTGCGAAAATAGAGAAGGATAGAAAATAAAACATAACGGGTTTTCACTCGCGCTTTTTTTGGTATGAGAGACATCTCATATGATGATAATGAAATAAAAAAAAAACCAAGAAGTTGTGTGCAATAGGCAAAGAGAAAAACGTAAAAGAAAACAACGTTGCAGTCGGGCGTTACCGACTGCGGAATACTCATTCACATCCCATCAACAATTTAATAGTTAAGTTTCGCTCTAATACTGTAGAAAATACAGGTTTTTCCGATTTGCCACGCCCCAACTGGGCGTAGACAACTCATTTTTGGTCAGTTTTTAGAACAAGCAACCGGTAAGCTAAATGCAAATTTTGAATGCTTACCCTCAAAAAATGTGAAAATTACAGGGTATTTTTCGATATGCCACGCCCCTAAAGAGGCGTAAAAATTATTTTTGGGGAATCGATAGAGGAGGCTATCAGTAACTCAACTATCAAAATTTGAAGCTTCTAGCTATTATACTTTAGGAGATATAAGCTTTTGCGGTTTGCCACGCCCCCAATGGGCGTAGATATATCCGCCATAGCTCGTGATCTTGGGTGGTCAACGCGGACCTACATACCAAATTTCAGCTTTCTAGCTCTTTAACTAACATGATTTCTGGTATATCGGCAAATGCATTTTCCGATTTGCCACGCCTTTAGTGGGCGGATCGGGAAAATTTTAACACTTTATAAATCGGAGATATACACGAGTATGTGTTCCAAATTTCAAGTCTCTAGCTTCAATAGCGCCGAAATAGATTGCGTTCATACGGACAGACGGACAGACGGACGGACGGACAGACGGACAGACGGACGGACAGCAAGACGGACATTGCACAAAACCAATATACTCATTTCACTTTCGTGAATGAGTATAACAAGTAAGAACGTTGCAGTCGGGCGTTACCAACTGGAGAATACTCATTCACATCCCATCATCAATTTAGTAGCTAAGTTTAGGTCTAATACTGTAGAAAATGCAGTATTTCCCTATTTGCCACGCCCAAATTGGACGTAGGCATCAATTTTGGTCAGTTCTTAGAATGAGCTAACGGTAACCTAACTGTAAAATTTTGATGCTTCCGGTTACTAGTAACTCACCTATTTCTAGCTCTTAAACTGTAGGAGATACAGTCTTATCCGATTTCCCACGCCCCCAATGGGCGTAGATATATCCACCATAGCTTGTTCATCTTGGGTAGTTCAGCATGCACACTATGCTGCTGCCTGTTACATATGTATATGTATTTAAAGAAAACTTATTTTAAACAAATTGAAAGAAAATGAATTAAAATTAAGTTTATTTGATCAGTTCTTTTATTGGTTCCTTCTTAGACTATATATAACAATGAACACGAATGAACAGCTTTGTATTCTTAAGTAATTTAAACTAAATTTCTTGATAAGAAAAGAAAGAAAAGACTTTAAATTTGGTTCGCATTAAGTAATTTTAAGCGATTGTTGGGATACAGATGATTCCAATCCAATAGGATTTTGAAATGGCATTGGATGTACTTGAATAAACTCAATGGGAAATGAAAATGGTAATTCTTGTAATTTATTGGAGAATGTTTGAGGATTTACATCAAATGATGTGTCATTATTAGCGACAAAAAGGTTAAATGGAGTCTTCGTCTCCAGAAATTTTATAGGAAGAAGTGTACTTTCGGCTGTTGATTGTTCCAATTGTCTGATATGTTGTGAGCTATCTATGGTTGCCGGATGCTGATCTATGGCTTCGTTATAGGTATGATATTGAGTACTCATCGGTAAATCCATTTGCTTGGATTGGCTGAGCTTATGGTTATTATTGTAGTTTTCATATGAATAAACTGGAGAGTTAGACGTTTCTTTAAAGTGTGTATGCTTCTCATCAAAATTATTAGATCTTTGCTCAAATTTGTATGGTTCTTGGGACTTAATATATACTGGCACCTTTCGTTCAACCTCTACGGTATAGGGTACAGGAATTTTCTTTTCAACAGTTACGGGTACTTTGATTTCAACTGGATATGGAACTGTTTTTAGTACTGGGTACGGTTTCGGCACATGTACAATTTTTTCCGTAATTTTCTCAACTACGTATGGCTTTAGAATATGAACGGGTTTGGGAACTCGAACAATTTTTTCAATAACCTTTTCGACAGGAACATGTATTATTTTTTCAACCGTTACATTAACAATTTTTGGAACTTGGACAATTTTTTCCACTATTTTTTCAATTGGAATATGCACAATTTTTTCCACAGGATACGGTTTTGGTACGGTCTTAATCACTTCTTTAATATGATTATGATGATGATGATGATGATGATGTTTCACTTTAATTTTGATAGGTATATCATGTTTCTTCTTTTCACTGATTTCTACTCCACCAACAAGTTCATCGTGACTCTTGTGGTGGTTAGAGGGCTGGGGGTCTGGGTCGCGATCGTCAGGCTCATTTACATGCTCGTGAATTTCTTCAAACGTTTCATATATCCTCACGTCTTTGTTATTCTTGGACCTCATCTGTTGATTTGCAGGTGTAGTGAAAATTATATTTTTTGAATTTCGAGCAGATTTTGGTATATGAGCACCTGCAGATGCATTTTGCCGTTTGTTTTTTGATCTACGTTTTCGGATTTCATTGAAACTGCGATTCAAAATTAAATTAGGGTCAAAGTTCTCAAACTGCTGAATATCAGAAAAAAATTGTGAATGCTTCAAATTAGTATCGGTCGCGTCTCTTTCATTTTGAATCGAGTTTCCTTGAGTCTTTCCCGTATACAGAAATAATGAAATTATAATAATTAAAAATGTAAAGGATATCTGAAATTTTTAAATTTTATTTATCAGTATTTAAAATTGAATGATTTAACCTTACGTGAATAATCATTATTGAGCAAAATATAAATGTTTTGCAGAAACGCTTTTTTACTTTTGTTGTTGATGCTGGACGATGTTATGCAGCAATAAATGCTTGGGCCATTTCACGAGGCATTTATAAACCCTGCCAACTCACAAAATTTGCACTCACGTTAATGAAAGCAAAATAATTTTACCCCTAGTCTTAAACTTTGAAGACGATGTAAAAAACACTAGTCAACAATTATTTAAAAAATACATCATGTTTTATTTTGTGGAAATATATGCAATAGACTTTATCTTATTTATGATCAAGTCTATTGCATATATTTCCACAAAATAAAAAATTATTTAATAAATTAATTTAGTTATGCTAAATACGCAAATATATACAATTTAGGATTATTAGAAAATTGCTTAACATTTCCCAGATTCCTGGGGAATTAGGATTGTTAAGAAATTAATTATTCCATTAGCAATCTATTATCCACACTACGGTGAAATGCAGATTTTTTTCTTTGATCTACATACATAGGTATAAAGGATTTATTAATTAAATTTCTTCTTTTGTACAACAGTGTGAGCAAAAGAAACAAGTAGAAAGCTGTAGTCGAGACTGCCCGACTACGAGATTCCCTGAAGCCTTGGAGCAAGTGATATTTAAAAAAAAAAAGGGGGGGAAATTTTTGACAATAATCGAAATTCCATAAAGTACATATAAATTTACATTTGAATTTGGTGACTAGCTTTAAAAATGTAGGAGATATTAAAAAAAAAAAATTCAAAAATTCTGAGATCGACGCGTTCAAACATACGGACAGGGCTAAATCGACTCAGCTCGTCGCCCTGTGTAAGAATATATATACTTTATGAGGTCGCCACGCCTCCTTATTCCTGTTACATATATTTATCAAAACTATTATACCCTGATTTCCCATTTTCAATGGGTTCAGGGTATACAAATTTAATGAGGATCAGCTGAACTGTCATTGATTCACGTACAAGACCAGAAAAAAGAAATACCTTACTCGACTGAAAGAGTTTGATCGCGTGTCTCTTCTCTATTTAATTCCATGGTAAAAGCGTATAGTACAAACATACATACAAAAATATGTGAATGTATGAGTTTATGACTTTTTACGAACATAACTGCTGTTATTATAAGAAATAGATTTCCGACTGCGGTATATTATCACGTTCATGTGTATGTATGTACATCTTTGTTTTTTAACACAACGCTAGTAGTACTATGCCAAACTGTATGTACTAGCCTAGTACATACAGTTTGGCAAGAAAGTGTTTACACACAGGGAAAAAATTTTTATTTTTTACTTTGAAGCGAAATAAAAACTGTAAGAATATGCATTTCCAATTTTTTTAAAATGAAAATAGATAAATTAGACTATAAGCTATATTAGTAAGCAAAAAAAAAAATAACAATATGCTTTCATTAACAAAAGAAAATAACAAAAAACAAAAGAAGTAACAAAAATCAGCTGACAAGAAAAACTGAAATAGATTCACTGTTGCAGCGCCATCTAGCAAAACTAAATCAAACTAACTGCTGATGTGATTCTAAGAATCTGCTAGTATAACCAAACTTTTAAATACACATTTAATGAAACTTTCAGCATATGATTTACATATTATATTGAATATTTGAGAAATTTAAAAAAATGAAAAATCATTCACAATTAGCTATAGTGGCATCTGACTTGAACTTGAATGTTTTTATTCGGTAAAAACATAACGGGATGATTTATCGAACTTTAAAAGCAAACTCGACATCCGCGCTGTATATACGGTCATTTCATATCTTCGGAAATCGACGCGTTCAAACATACGGACAGACGGACAGACAGGCAGACGGACAGGGCCAAATCAACTCAGCTCGTCACCCTGATCAAGAATATATATACTTTGTGGGGTCTGCCACGCCTCCTTCTGCCTGTTACATACATTTCAACAAAACCATTATACCCTGATTTCCCATTGAAAATGGGTTCAGGGTATTAGTTTTAACTACTTTATACTAATTCATAATTTATAATGAATTAATTGTTTTAGTTGTGTAAACACATTCTTGTCAGCTGATTTTTGTTACTTCTTTTGTTTTTTTTTTTTTTTGTTAATGGAAACATATTGTTATTTTCTTTTTACTTACTAATATAGTATATAGTTTATTTTACCTATTTTCATTAAAAAAAATTGGAATATGCATATTCTTACTGTTTTTATTTCGCTTCAAAGCAAAAAATTAAAATTTGTCCCTGTGTGTAAACACTTTCTTGCCAAACTGTATATGTAAGTATACAAAAATTTAGAGACTCTAGCTTTAAAGGTGTAGGAGATATAGTTTTATAACTGATTTTCGAAAAAGTTTTTTATCGATAAAAAATAACGGGATGAGTTATCGATTTTTGTGATAAACTCGATATCCGCGCTGTATATACCGACAATTTTAATCAAATTTGAAGTCTCTAGCCCTTATATCTTCTGAAATCGATGCTTTCATACATACGGACAGACGGACAGGGCTAAATCGACTCAGCTCGTCGCCCTGATCAAGAAAATATGTATTTTATGGGGTCTGCCGCGCCTCGTTCTGGCTGTTACATACATTTCAACAAAACCATTATACCCTGATTTCCCATTTTCAATGGGTCTTCCCTCGCTTATACGTACATAAATATTTACGCTTATTTACGTCCATTTAATCGTTACGATTGGCTAGTCTCAACTTCCGTTATATGCAACATGTACGTATCGAATATGAGTTATTATGTAATTTGAATTACACACACACACAGAGATACTCAGGCACGCATAAACACGCATTGGCTGCAGTGGTGGCTTACTATGAGAGCTTAATTGTTTAATAACTCTTTTTGTGGATATACGATCTTCATAAAATATTTAGATTATGATCATATTATGGATCAGAGCTTGCAAATGAGAGTTGAGCGTTTTTTCGTTTATTCTCTTCCTCGCATCATAACCAAAAAAAATTGTGCAGACACGTCTCTCTCTGAGCGTCACTCTCTATTTTCTTTAGCATCTGTTTCGCTCAGACGCAATGCGATGAGTCATTCGTGTCACGCTCTCACATGAGTGTCGCGTAAAACTAACACGATTTTCCCTCACACAAAGCCTCTCAGCAAAACACAGTTTGACTAAAAAACTCAACAGAAATCATCTTTGCTTCGTGTGCATGTAAATACACGCATACATACATACAAAAAGAACGCAGCAATCGCGCGTGATTACCCATACAAACGCAACTTACCGTTACTTCATTTAACTCAAGCAAACGATCAGTGTTTGACTTGAGGAAACGAAAACAGAAATAACTGTCTCCCTCAGAGCGCGAGAGAGCTAAGCCAGACGCGACAAAAACAGTTTCTGTCTGAGTTTTTTTGACTGTGTCAGTGAAAGACACTTTTTTGCAGACAACGAAAAAGTGTTAACAGTTATTTGCGAGCTATGTTATGGATGCATGTATTTACCAAAACACAAGTGAAATATGCATTTAAGTATACATTTAAAATTTAGAGACTCTATCCTTAAAGATGTAGGAGATATAATTTGATAACTGATTTTCGATAAGGTTTTTATCGATAAAAAAGTAAGAGTGCTCTAGTCGAGACTGTTCGACTAGGAGATACCCCGAACCCTTAAGCGGATAGCTCATTCTGCACTTTTTTTAAGTATACATGCATACACATGCATCCACACGTACGTATAAATACCAGTGTTGCCGAATCAGCTATTTTGTAGCTAGATTTGGCTACTTTTTAAAGGCGATTGTTACACAAATTTTCAAACAGCTATTAGCTACAAACACTAACCAGAGAAGACATAGACTAGACATGTAGAACAACTTTTTCACCACCGAAAAAATGCGCTGAAGCGACCGGACAACTTCGACTTGTTGAAAAAGTTTGTTCTACATGTCTAGTCTATGTCTACAAACCTGGCTATTTTCAAATATTACATTTAGTTAAAATGCAAGCGAACTTATAGCAAAATTGTCTTCGATACTTTTTAAATGTAAATAATTTAAATGTACTGAGTTTTGTGTAGAATTAATACTACAACTGAATAGGTAAGCTTTCAAAAATGTTATGCAAAATTAATTTCTTATCAGTTTTTATACCCTGAACCCATTGAAAATGGGAAATCAGGGTATAATGGTTTTGTGAAAAAGTATGTAACGGGCAGAAGGAATCATCACAGACCCCATAAAGTATATATATTCTTGATCAGCACGGCGAGCTGAGTCGATATAGACCTGTCCGTCTGTCCGTCCGTCCGAATGTGTGCGTCGATCTCAGAAGTTATAAGAGCTAGAGAGCTGAAATTTGGCATACTCCTGTGTTCCATACGCAGTACAAGTTTATCGTATTTTTTCGATAAATCATTCGATAACTTTTTTTATCGAGAATTATCGAAAAATTGATTTTGTTATTTATGCTATGAGTATGGCGTTCCACCACTAACCACAGAACACATAGACCGGACGAGTAGTGTAATGCGTTTTGCACTTTTTTTTTCGGGAGTTATCTCCCAGACCACTTCGCATTTGCTCGTCTCTTCACTTTTAGGTTCGGGCTACGAAAACATACGAAAGCACAATCATTTCGCTTCATACGCTCGACCGAGATGGTCAAATATTGAACAAAAGAAGTCACTATTTTCAATTTTTTCTTGCTCTCTCTCTCTCTCTCTCTCTCTCTATGCTCTCTGCTCTCTCAAATATGTATATTTATGTATGCATGTGAGCACAAGCAGCAGCTCACGAAAATTCAAATTTCTTAGCCTTAGACTCCCGTTTCTTCCCTTCTGTGTGAAGAGTATACTGAACTCTTCAAACGGTTTGCCAAGTTCGTACAAAATATTTGCGTATTGTGAAATGCACTATATCAACCCCTCAAAACGCGTATTTCAAATACTAAAAACTTGTGCTTTAGCAAATGCATGCATATGCATATTATAATCATAATCTGAATGAAGATAGTCCACCCATAAAAAAAAGCTTTTAAGCAATTAACTTAATTGTTTAATAACTTGTCTTGTTAATTGAAATAAGTTCCCATATTAGCCCACACTGCTGCCAATGCGTGTTTATGCGTGAGTGCGTATGCCTGTGTGTGTGCGTGTGTGCATGTGCGAATAATTATTGAAATATCAGTTGCTCGAAGGGTTCAGGGGATCTCGTAGTCGAGCAGTCTTGACTAGAGTTTTATTAATTGTTAA